TTCCTTTGATCTTCAGGTTCTCCTTTTCTTTGTGATACAAAATTGAGTTGTAGAATAAGAATTGTAGCAGGAACTTCTATTGTTTTTAGGTGAAATAAATGGCAAAATTATTCTTGGATGCACCCATTTGACCATGATGTCAAAAGTCTGAGCCAAGGCTTATGATTGCTTCTGCATAAATCAAGGGGACAGCTTTCTTGCATTGTCCATTATGTCCATCAAATCATGGTGGTCCATTTCATTCCTCTTTGCACCTCATCAACGCACCTTTCGCGAGTTACAAACTCAGCTCTAGCTGGACTCTGGCAGTGCATAAGTGTGTATCTCAGTTCTGCGGGTGCTCCCAGGTCAACTTCATCTGCAAGCAGCCTCAGTGATGTACACAGTGGTCACCCCCAATGCTGAACCCCTTCATCTACAGCTTTGGAAACAGTGACATGAAGAGAGCCTTGAAAAGACTCTGTGGTAGGAAGCTCTAACAGGACTCGTGGCTCTGATCCCACAAATGCAAGGCTCGAGGCCTCCATCACAGAGACTCTGCTTCTTGAATCATATTGAAGAAACTGATCCTGATCCTTCTCTCTCAGATGCCTTCTGTCTATTTCATCTTACACACAGTTTCATTAATTCATGTTATTAGGTTCTCTGATGCATCATATCTAATTGATTTCTTATCTACTGTTTTCCCACCTTCCCTATTCATTACCAAATTTGTACTACAAATGCAAAGTCTTTCCAAGTTTCTAGACAATAGGATGAGAAGACAAGTTTAGGTGAGGCGTGGAAAGGGGCTATTTAGGAATGAGTATCTCAGCTGTGAGTGTGGGTTTATGTCCTACTTACATCTGACCCGGTGTCCTTCTAATGCACCCAAGAAGGCTGTAGGTGGTGACCCATGTGCTTGGGTCCCAGCCACCCAACAGGGGAGACACGAATGGAACTCCTGTCTCCTGACTTTGGCCTGGTCCATGCAAAACTGCTGCCTCTATTCGGAGAGGGAATCAGAGCATGAAGATCTTTCTCTTTTCTTGCTCTTTCTCAGCCTGTCACTTTGTCTTTAAAATAAGTAATAAGTAAATAAATGTCTTAGAAAAGAAATAATACATTTTGCTGTCTGCAGATTAGAGACTGTCCTGCATCCTTTGGGGGAAATCAAATTGCCTGCAGTTCTGGTTCCTCCTGCAGGCTCCAGGGCAGAACCCCTTATCTGCCTCTTGCAGTTCTTGGAGTCAGCTTGTGTCCCTGACTCGTGGCTCTCTCTGCACCTCCAGTGCCAGCAGTAGCAGAGCCCCTTCCAGGCATCCTCTAACTCCACCTCAACTCCTTCCTTATACCTGGAAAGAGTGTCTATGATGGTACAAGCCTCTCACTGATAGTTTGCTGCAATCTTCTTATTTTTAGTTAGCAATCTTATCTCACATGTTACCTCCTGTTATGCAAATTCACATGCCACAGTGGTCTTGTGGTTAGGTTGTAGACATCACCAAGACTGCTACTCTTCATCACCAAGACTCTGAGTTTGGGGTCACACATGTCCTTCCTAGCTTAAGGCATTTGAACGACCTTATGGAGAGATTTACCATTTGCTATTCAGCACAGGACTGTCTTTAGATCCTTAAGGCTTTTGTATTCACTGCACATGGGAGTTCCTGAAAACGGAGAGAGAGAGAGACTGACTATCTACTGGTTCAGTCCCCAAATTCCTGGATGTCAGGGACCCAATTACTTAAGATATCACCTCCCACCTGGTAATGCAGGCATGTGGAGAGCAAATGAATGAATACAGGGCTCCACCAACTCTCTGCCCTTAAAATGAAATATTCCTAAAGTCATGAGCAGACATTTTTAAACTAAGAAATCTTAAACGCTAAGATATGGAATCAATCTGTATGTCCATGAACAAATGATTGGATTAAGCATGGTATACAAACACACAGTGGAATGTCAATAAGTCATAAAAAGAAAAAATGGTGTTTTACAACAAAATGGATACAGGTGGAAACCACTGTGTATAGGGAAATAAGCCAGTCTAAAAAACACATATTTCAGTTCACAGAAATATTCACAGAAATAAACACAATGTATGATAAGGAAGCTGGTATATTTTGATTGGAGTATTTTCTTAGTCCTTGTCTATAACCCTTGTGGAGCAGTAGTCTTTCTACCATTGTTAGATGATTAAAAAATGAAAGTGCATTACTGTAAAAAATTGTAAGAAAAAATGGGAGTCTGAGGCAGGAATGATTAATTTTTTAGAATTTTATTGATGACATCTGAAATTTTATATCCATGAAAAATTTTTAAAATTTGAAAGTCTTTAAAAATTCTCATCCATTTGTTCAACTCAAATAATAAAACTGTTGCTCGCATTGGTGTTAGGATAAAAACATTTTGAGAACACCTGTTTCTTCTCTGGTGTTCTGAGAAATGTTCCTACTCCTCTTCAGGATGATAAGTTACATAAACCTGTCCTTGTTGTAATTTCTCCATGAAGTTTGAAGAGGGTGAGAAATTTTGTGCAAGTTTAAAAGAAAACATTTACCAGTACTTAATAAGACATGATGAAATATCCATGCGTAAAACCAGCTAAAGTTCATTGTAACAGAGATTACAGAGCAGGAGAAAGAAGATTCATCCACCACGGTCTCTTGGGAAACACCTGCTTTCTGTAATGGCCAGCAGCCCAGGGACCAGCAGGTGCTTAGAGGTCAGGGAGCTGCCCAATGAGCAGGTGCCAAGAGCTGTAAGTAGCTCCTCTGCTGCGTTCTCTCAGACTGTGCAACCTTGGGCTAGAAGAAGCCTGCTTGTTGCATTTCCTTCCTGAGTCTTTCCCACGGACCAGAGCTTTCCTCCTTTCCTCTGCTGTGCTTGGGATGGAGCTTCAATCTGCAGCATCCACCATCCAGGCAGGAATTTGGGCATCCACACAGACACTTGAGTCATAGAGTTGCCATGCAGGTGAGACGGGCAGACATTGTAGGAGGCGTCTCAGATTGTGGACACAATCAGATTTCCCTGAGGTTAACCTGGAACTGGACTAACCTAGCTAAAACCTGGGCTAGGTCTGGGGTTGGTCACTGCTAGACTTAACTATTCAATGCCTTTGTTATTCATTCAGATGGGAGGAAAATGCTGAATGTCCTAGGGCAATAAGCATTACTAATCAAGAAATGAGAGCAAGAAAAGATAAATTCCAATAGACAATGAGTGATATGAGTTTCCTCGATTACATATAGCCAGCTTTGCAGCATTTGGAGATCTACGGGAGTAGAGAAAGAATTTTCTGTGTGGAGGGACATGTGCAGGAGTGAGGTCATGTCAGTTTTGTAGTGTTACAGAGCTTGGTTATTCACCACTCAAAGGTGGTTAGAGGAGGGGTGATGACTAACTGCTGGCCCTGGGACAGCCTCGGCAGACTGAGTTACAACTCTGCCCATTCTGATTCTTAAGAAGGGGTGTAACTGACTCTCCCAGTAGTGACAGGAAATGGCCAGGTGAGAGGAAATGCTTGCATGAAATCCTGAGTGTAACAGCTGCTGGAACACACATCTAACAGTCTTTTGTCTTGTCTCATATTTCACTCTCACATGACTCAATGTTATCTTGTTGATGCAGTAAAAAGAGCTCCATCAAAGACACCTGCTCATAAGTCATTGCATCATCTGTGATTTGGATACACTCCAGGGTTTCCAGCCCCTCGCATTCTCTCCTGCAATTTTTCAGCACTTTCCTGGTGAGCTGTCAGGTGAGCCTGACTTATTCCTGTCTTTATTGTTCAGACCTACAAGGATTGATCACTGTCAACACCTTTTTTTTTTTTCTGCCGGTGGATTTCTTTGATGTGTCCTTTAGTGTACTTCAGTGCAATTAAAAATGTGTTTAGAAGGTAGGTTGCTACAATCCACAATGTTGCAAATATACCCTAACCCATAATAGTGTCATCGAAATTTGGAGAACCTTCTATTTTACCAAATAGATGCACAAAAACATGCATTTGTTAGCTGCATTTTCAAAAAACATTTTTTTAAAGATTTTATTTTTATTATTTTTGTATTGGAAAGGCAGATATACAGAGAGGAGAGACAGAGAGGAAGATCTTCCGTCCGATGATTCACTCCCCAAGTGAGTGCAATGGCCGATACTATGCCGATCCGAAGCCAGGAGCCTCTTCCGGGTCTCGCACATGGGTGCAGGGTCCCAAAGCCTTGGGCCGTCCTTGACTGCCATCCCGGGCCACAGGCAGGGAGCTGGAAGGGAAGCGGGGCTGCCGGGATAGAACCGGTGACCATATGGGATCCCAGGCATGCAAGACAAGGACTTAACCTCTGCGCCACCGTGCCGGGCCCTCAAAAAACGTTTTGATGAACCTTTACTCAATTTTAAGAAGACTTGTGAAAGCTTGTATTTTTCTGTCATCAAAGTCAGTGACACATCCTGGGTTTAAACCCCACTGTTATGAAAGCTATACAATTTTGATTGTGCAAGCAGAGTCTTAATTCAGTTTTATATGTATGTCCAACCTGCTCCATGTTGAGTTGTTCTTATCATTTGACATCCTTTGTGATTCCTCTTTGCTTAACATGGTTGAGTCATTTACTAAATTTCAAATTACTTCTGCCTCCAGTGACACCAACTAACTGCAGTTCACTTTATCTTACATAAACAGAGTTGAATCCCATTATTAAGATAGTTGGAACTACTTATTATGCACTGCTTCATCCCCTGCTTTTTATTTCATATATCTAATTGGGAATTCCATGGTGAGTTTGTAACCACTAAAAATTAGATATTTTTCAAGTGATCAAAGAACACCACATGCAATGTGAGAAGTTCTTGATGATTTAGGAAAAGACTTAGTGTGGCAAGGAATTCATAGTCAGCAATCCACTGTGTGGGACCAGAAGGAGCTAAGCCATTTCAAAAAGTGGTACCTACATTTGGAATGGGAAAACATGAATTTTGGATTTCTTTTTTGTTGGTTATGTCTATTTTGCATAACTATGATTCGGTTGAAATTACTTCTTCCTGACAGTGATCTGCACCACATGAAAATGATCAACCAAACTCAGATTTCAGAATTCCTCCTCCTGGGATTCTCAGAGGACCCAGCACTGCAACCTCTCATCTTTGGGCTGTTTCTCTCCATATACCTGGTCACTATAAGTGGGAACCTGCTCATTGTCCTAGCCATACTTTCAGACCAACACCTCCACACACCCATGTACTTTTTCCTCACCAACCTGTCCATGGTGGACATCTGCTTCACTTCCACCACCATCCCCAAGATGCTGGTGAACATTCAGACACAGAACAGAGCCATCAGCTATGCAGCCTGCATCACACAAATGTTCTTCTTTATATTGTTTGTTGGGTTGGATGACTTTCTCCTGACTGTAATGGCCTATGACCGGCTTGCGGCCATCTGTCACCCCCTACACTACATAGCCATCATGACCCCCCAGCTCTGTGTGCAGCTGGTGCTGATGTGCTGGGTCATAAGTGCCTTGGATTCACTGGTGCATAGCTTACTGGTGCTGAGGCTGAGCTTCTGCACGCACATGGAAATACCCCACTTTTTCTGTGAGATAAATCAGGTGGTCCACAGAGCCTGTTCTGACACCTTTCTCAATGACCTCATAATGGATTTTGCAACTGTGCTGCTATTGGGTGGGCCCCTTGCAGGGATTCTGTACTCATACTCCAAGATCATCTCCTCCATTCGTGCCATCTCATCAGCTCAGGGAAAGAATAAAGCCTTTTCCACCTGTGCCTCTCACCTCTCTGCCATCTCCCTATTTTATGGCACAGGACTGGGTGTGTACCTCAGTGTCAGTGCTGCCCCAAGTTCAGCCTCAACTGCAGCAGCCTCGGTGATGTACACAGTGGTCACCCCCATGCTGAACCCCTTCATCTACAGCCTGAGGAACACAGACATGAAGAGGGCTCTGAAAAGACTGTTGTTCCATAAATGACAGTTGGACACACACTGTTGGGGCTGAGCAGTGTCAGTGACTCATATCTCAGGTTCAGGGTCAAATACTGTGATGCATTTATCAGAGGAGGAAGTAGAGCTTGCTTAGTCTGTTCACTGTCTAGTTTTGTATTTGTTAATGTTTAATTCCTCTGCTTACACTGCAAATGAAAGATAATTGCATTTGATTATGTGTTGTCTCTCGCAGCATGGTTTTTCCTGAGTTTTTCCTTTTTTCCCACCTTTACTGTAATCATTGTTCTTGAAATAAAAACAATTTGAAATTTTATGGAGAAATAGAAAGGCATGAGGTCTTGGTCTATGTGCTAAACAATTTTTAATTCCATGTGTTTTTTTACAATGTATAGACACTGCTTTCTACCTTTCATTCTTGTAATAATTCAGTAATAATTCTTTAACATATAAATTTGTCTTTTTAAGCATTGGCCTGTTTGAATATACATACTGTTCCTCATTTGCACAGCATTGGTTCCAAAAAGATAAGATTTCATTTCCTGAGTGGTATTCCCTTGTTTATGTATAACAGATGCCTGTTGATGAAACCTTTATTAGCGTAACACTTACACATGCTCCTTGAACTGCATGAGGCTAAGTGTGCAGAATTGGAATGTCCACATTTCTCATAATATAATTTCTTATTAAATAACATCATGTAAGTGTCTGGCACCATGGCCTAGCAGCTAAAGTCCTTTTCTTGAACATGCCAGGATTTCATATGGGCTCTAGTTCTAATCCCAACAGCCCCACTTCCCATCCAGCCCCCCACCTGTGACCTGGGAAAGCAGTCAAGGATGGCCCAAAATCTTGGGACCATGCACCCAAGTGGGAGACCTCAAGAAGGTACTGGCTCCTGGCTTCGGATCATCACAGCACCAGCCGTTGCAGTCGTTTGGGAGAGAATCATCGGATGGATGACCTTTCTCTATCTGTCCTCCTCTCTGTATATATGACTTTGCAATAAAAATAAATAAATCTTTTAAAAAATAACATTATGTGACACAATTCAATATTTTTCTTCCTAGCTTAGTAGTTTATTTTTCAGATAACATACATTCAAGAATCATTACAGTAAAAGGTTTAAATGTTCTATTCCAACCAGATCAAAAGATACCTATTTTATGTTTTTGTTGTATGTGATAGCTAACAGAGTGCACACACAAAAAACCACAATGTATAAGAGTAAAACCGGCATCTTGTGATTTGATTGTTTTATTTACCCTTGTCTATATTCCTGTGTAGCAGTAGACTTTATGCTTTTTAGCTGATATTAAGGTTATGATTTTATAGTTGAAATTACATTACTGTAAAAAAAAAAAAACAATGAAAAAAGGAATGAAGAGGAGACTGAGGCAGGCCAGCATGAAGAATGTCTTAGAATTTCATTTATGAAATAACTGAAAACCTATCTTTACATCCATAAAATTTTTAAAAATAAAAATTTAAAAAGGCATAAGAACATCTACATTTATTTATTAAACTCATATAATTCAAGGTTGCTCTCTTATTTGCTAATATAGAAAATTTATGAAATCTGTTGTTTCACATTGGAGTTCTGAGAACTCTTCTTGTTCCTAGTAGTATGATAAGTTATCAGAAACCTGTCCTTGTACTTTTTCCTATGAAGCTTCTGGAAGTTTTGACTTTGTCAGATTATGATTGTTTGCAAAGGCTTTCAGAAGGTACTTACCAGCATTTAATAACACTTAAAATACCCATGCATAAAATCCATTGGAAACTATGTCACATGGGTTTTGTTGTTTTCTGTTGGTTTCATCGATTCAAAACACTTTCTTCTGATTTAATCATTCAATGACTCGTAGATCATGCAGTGGCACCATTTTCTTCAAGAAGCATCTTGATATTCATTTCTTCAGCTACAAGTTAGTCATTTAGTAGCACGTTCTTTATATGAAATTGTTAAATTTTTTTTCTACCTGTTGTTGATTTTGTTTTGTGGCTCTCCATTTAAGGGGATGTATAGTAGCTGTGTAATGGAGACTATGATATCTAGTAACCTGTTATTTAACTTGATGACATTGTAAATTTCAATTTTTCTTTCTAGTGTTGATTATGTATTATGACTTTTCATTTGAGGGGATGTACAGTAGCTGTGAAATGGAGACTAACATCCAGATGTGAGGATACAATGTAGTATGTATCTCTACTTTCAGACAGAGATGGACTTACAATGAATCTGTTTACTATATCTTAACAATAGGATGCTAGGCTCTCTGCCATTGTCCACTTCTGCAATGATGAACATATGACTGTGTGTGAAGAGCTATACTTTAGTAATGATATAGAGCAAGGAGGGGTTGCGGGGATTGGGGATGGGATAAGGGAAATCCCAGGAGCCTATGGAACTGTATTATAAAATTATAATAATAATAAAATTTTAAAAAGGCGTGTGCTAGTGGGAATACCTTGCTGGTTTATGAGTATCAACGCACGGATATGCTACATAAAGACTACCAACAGCAACCTTCAGAATACATAAGAACTGAATTTGGGAGTAGATTCACCAGCATATTTGTGATATCACTTCTGTAAAACAACCACACTAGCTGGCAATGTGGAGAACTGGAGGCAGTGACAGGCCACGCCAGGCTGGACCACAAATTCATCTGACCAGAACCCACCTGACACTCATGGGAGCTGGCACTGTGAGGAGACCAAGTGGAGACAGTACATGCAAGGCACAGGACTAAGGGCAGATCATATCAGGCTGGGCCACTGCCCCCACTGGCATGTTTGAGATCCAGGGCTGGGAACAGGCACAATGACAAAACTTGGGGAACTCACCTACAAGTCTGCAGTTCCCTCTTGGGGTGGGGGGCTATCCAAACAAGTCTGTAGCACACATAAGCATTTGTGTGGGCCAGGTCTGAGGGCAGGCCAGGTGGGACCAAACCTGAGCAATTGTTTTCACAAAAGAGAGCCTGGAAAGGAAGTGTGCTGTACCCTGCTGGGCTGGGCTGCAACACCCACCTGCAAGAGCTGAGACTGTGAATGTACCAAGACAGGTTGAGTTGAAACACCTGCCAATACAAACAAGACCCAGAAATGGTAACAGACCTATTAGGGGAAACTGTTGGGACTCCCTTGATGGGTTAGAGCTCCCATTGGTGCGTGAAAGGCAGAGTTTAGGGTAGACCAAACTAGACAAGCACCACATGTGTGGATTACTCTGGGTTCAGGCCAGTCTGATAGAGTTCCCAGAACCCACTGGTGCTTTTAAGAACCATCCTCTGATGGCACAATCAACATGCAAACACTGACACAGAAGAGCTGGCTTTCATGTCTTCCTAATGTCCACTTCTCAGGCATCTGCAACCAAGGAGACCCAGACCAACACCTGCACTCCAAGGTTAGAGTTTAATAATGTAGTTGGGAAACCCCAAGACATCTTACCTGGGTTGACCTCAGACTTGACTCTTGCATGTACTGGCTAGGACAGGGTCAGATTCAGTCCATCACCTGCACCGGCCAATGGGCACATTGTTGCCTAGACCCGATTCTCACATGAACTGATGGGTGCTGTGACCTAGTAATAGGTACAGCCTAGCAGGGAAGTGCCAACAGTTCCCTTGCCGGGCATGTTCCCAGCACCAGAACTTGAACCTGCCAAGGGCTGCTGCAATCCTGCCTGACGTGATTCACATCTATTTCTGGAACTTGTCAGCTGGACTGTGGCCTAGCTCAGTTGGCCTGCACCCATCAAGGCTCTCCTGTTTGCCAATGAGAGATCCAGATTCAGATCCCAGCTCCCAATGTCAGCTCATGGCCAAGGTTCAGCAGCTGCAGTCACCAAGTGCCAGAATCCAGCTCCAACTGAGTTCGGAACTCATGAAGGGTGTGTGTAGTAGGCAAAAGAAAAAATAAATGGATCACTATGATTTCATGATCATAATGGACAACACAAGAAAGTTGTGTCCTTTATTTATACAGAAACACCCACAAGCCCTGACAGACTTTTTACCTCATGGTCAAGTGGGTGTTTCCAAAGATAATTCTGCCCTTTGTTTCACCTTAAAGCTCTCAATAGAAATTCTCACTATCAATCAGTGACACATTCCTACTACAATCCTCACTCTACACATTAATCTTGAATCAGTTAAGGGAGGAAATACTTCACAAAAAAAGGAGGGGTGAATCTAAAGATCAAGGATGGTCAAATGGAGGCAGCAGAGACATAGCATGAATAATAAAAGGCTCTTTTGCAGTCATCATCTATATTAACCTCCAAGCTCACATTGATAGTAAAAAAACCAACTCCACAGCAGCAGTAAAAAAATGCCTGGATAGATTACAGAATTTGTCAGCAGGATGGTCTGGTGTCCATGCAAAGGAAGTTTGAATGGCCTTCAGCTGGCTTCTAGAGATATCCGCTGGGCCCTGCCAAGCAGAGGGAAATTCTGTGTGGCCCTGCCTGCACTGCAACAGTTCTCTACACACCTTCGTGTAATCCACACCCACTGCACAAACCACAGCAACCAAGGAGTGATCCAGTTGGTGAGAGCTACTTATCATCCCATCTCTTTGCTCTCAAATGAATAAAACATAACATTCTCCAGTGATTCAATTCAAGATGGAACTTGTTGCTCTGCCATGGGGAAGTCATCTCTGAGTCTCTAGTCATAAGGAGTCTATTTGTGAAAATACAAGGTCCATTGCACACATTTCACATGTGCATTTGGTCAGCAAACTGTACCTGACAATACTATGTCAGTTGACAAAAGAGACACTGTAAAGACAGAGCTGAATATGAACAAAGTTTAATTGAGTGATTAGCCATGATCTGCTGTAAGCTTTGTGAGTGTGCTGAGAAAGTGAGAGAAAGATGAGTTAAGAGGGAAATAAGAAATAAGCTTATTGTTTAATCCATGCTGAGAGGGAGAGAGAGAGGAAAGAGAGAAGAGAGAGTGTGTACAACCATTCACTGGTTCAGTATCCAATGGCTGCACAGTCTATAGCTTGTCTAACATGAGGCCAGGGACCTGGAATGACATCCAGGACTCCCATGCAGGTGGCAAGAGTATCTTCGGGGAACCAAATGAGAAATGGAACAACTGAAATGAGAACTGGAACTCTGATCTGATAAACTGACATCATCCAGCAGGGGCTTAGCTTTTTTTGGTAAAGATTTATTTCATTTTATCAGAAAGGCAGAACAGAATTACAAAGCGACAGAAAGAAAGATTGTCCATTCTCAGATTCACTCTTCAAATGACCACAATGACCAGAGTTGAATGGATCCAATGTCAGGAGCCAGGAGTTTCTTCCAGGTTTCCTATGTGGATGCAGGGACTCAAGGGTTTGAGTGATTCTCTGCTACTTTCCAAGGCCATTACCACAGAATTGTATGGGAAGTGGAGCAGTCTTGACAAGAACTAGCACCCAAATGGGATCTAGATACTTGAAAGGGGAGAATTGAGCCTTTGTGTTAGGCTCAGGATTAAGATTTGGTACCACAGGACTGGACAAGGATGCATAAATGTATCTCCAACTGCTTTATTCCAGGAACACACAGAACAATCATCATGCCATAGACTCACAAAAATCACCGTGGTGGTGAATGTAGTTCATTACTATAAGAATAATATACCATACCACTTTATAACTCAGAAAGGGAATCAAGATTGTTTAATTTTAAACTTGAAATGATTTGTGGAAAGTGAAAAATGAAAAAGAAAAGTGTGAAAAGAAAGGAGATCTGAAAACTTCAGAAAGGAAGCAGCAAAATACAAATTGTGCAACAAGGCAAAGACTTCAGGAAATGAGCGGAAGGGCAGGTGGGTGGGGGGAGGTTCTACGTGGCACTTCTGCAAACCCTGAATTTTAAAGGCCTGATTCATGGCTATGAGTTATAAATGGCCATCAGAAGATTTTCCTCAGATGTATTTTCACTGCCCTCTGGATATCATTATTCCTGAGACTGTAGATAAAGGGGTTCAACATGGGGGTGACCACTGTGTACATCACTGAGGCTGCTGCAGGTGAGTGTGAGTTGTGTACAGCAGTTGAGCTGAGGTATACACCCAGTCCTGTTCCATAAAACAATGAAACAACAGAAAGGTGAGAGGCACAGGTTGAAAAGGCTTTATACTTGCCCTGAGCTGATGAGATGGCACGGATGGAGGAGACAATCTTGGAGTAAGAGTACAGGATCCCAGCCAGGGGACCTCCTCCCAGCAACACAGCAGAAAAATACACCATGAGGTCATTGAGAAAGGTGTCAGAACAGGCTCTGTGGACCACCTGATTTATCTCACAGAAGAAGTGGGGGATATCCACGTGTGTACAGAAGCTCAGCCTCGGCACCAGTAAGATGTTTAACAAGGCATACAGGACACTGATGGTCCAGCACCCCAGAACCAGCTGCACACAGAGCTGGGGGGTCATGATGACTGTATAGTGTAGAGGATGACAGATGGCCACAAACCGGTCATAGCCCATCGTGGCCAGCAGAAAGTTGTCCAGCGCTACAAATAATAGGAAGAAGAACATTTGTGTGATGCAGGCTGCATAGCTTATGACTCTGCTCTGTGTTTGGATGTTCACCAGCATCTTGGGGACAGTGGTGGAAGTGAAGCAAATGTCCACCATGGACAGGTTGGCGAGGAATAAGTACATGGGTGTGTGGAGGTGTGGGTCTGAGAGGATGGCCAGGACAATGAGCAGGTTCCCACTGACAGTGACCAGGTACATGGAAAGGAATAGCATGAAGATGAGAGGCTGCAATCCTGGGTCTTCTGAAAGTCCCAGGAGAAGGAATTCCACAACCCATGTGTGGTTCCTTGGTTCCATGTCAGCCATGTGACTACCAAAAGGTGAAAAATGGGTAGATGTGAGCACTAGTTACATGCTGCCAGAACCATGATGTGTGTTCTTCATGTCAGTCTGAGTGTCCCCAGAATGCCTCTGTTCTCTCGTGTAGAATTCCTCTCTGATGATGTCCACTTCCTCGTGACACTGTGCCTGCTGCAGCTACAATGAGATTCCGTGATGCCCTTGAGCACAGGATGTTGAATCATCAAGTTCCAGGCACATTTCAACAGTGTGTGAGCAGCCCTGAGAAACAAACATTCCTAAGAATAAAGGAGACAAGACAAACCATGAAATGCATCACTGGATGCACAGCTATGCAGGAAAGGAAAGGGATCAAGTCTAAGAGAGCAAGGGTAAATTGGGTTGTATTTTCCTGTATCTCCAGATCAAGCAAGCTCAGCAAATAATGTGGTATTTGGTCAAAGATTATGATCTCAATGAACATAATGCAGGTGCACAAAATTGTCTTGGAAATGGTGTGTCTGACAAGAGCCATGGGCCATGCAGAGTCCTGGTGGAGGGGCTCATTTCAGATGATCAATGCCACTGCAACAGAATCCAAAAACAAGAATAAGCAACAGGGAAAGGGCTGAAAGATAGATTAGAGAATATTGAGGAAGGCACTAGACTCATCCCCATGACACTTCAAGATGGAGGGAGTCATTCTGTCCAAGTCACTGCATTTCATCTTTGATTAGCTACAAACACCTTTCTGGATGTGAAAAGGGTGCCGCCCTATTTCCGCCTCTGCTTGTGTGTTTTGGCTACTGTATTATGTGTGCCAATTGAGGACACCAGTGCTCCTGAATTGTAACATGCCCATCTTAACCAAAACATATCATGAAAAGAGAGAAGCTCTTGAACACTGTGCTTTAGCAGCTTATATTTGGCAGTTGGAGATTGCACAGCCCCATGGGATCTGTGCCTCACTGCCCACTGTCCACGAGTGAGAAAAATCGCAACCTTGTGAAACAGTCAGCATTCAAAGGACAGTTTAGTCTTTTTGGCATGAGAAAGTGAAATAACCATGAACTTGAACCAGTGCACATTGGAGAATATGTGATGAGCCTAGGTGCCTTTTCCTGTTACTGTCTTTGCTCACCACCTCACACACGTGCATGCACACACAGTAATATGCATGTACACTCCGGGCATATGGGAGCGTCAGGAAGTTAGTGGAAATTCATACTTCTCTTACTCCTGTTTTTCTACCATTTCCTTCAAGTCCCTATGACACACAGGTGACAACCATGCTGCCTTTCTTCATGTGGCACGAACTCTGTACCCATCCCAGTCACATCATTGGAGAGGAGCTCTGTGGGGTTGTTACGGTCACACCAACTATCCTGACAGTGCAAACAGTACACTTTACGTTGAGCTTGTGACTCTCCCGTTGGCTACATTTCTATGTGTCCATTATCTGCTTTGTACAGAATAATGTTTTAAACTGCCAAATAAATAGGACTGTCCCTCAGGAAGATCTAACAAGATCAGGGATCTCTGAAGAGATCATTAGAAGAACTTTCACTGGTGTTGGACACATACCATTCCAATTATAAATCCTTAATGCCCAGCAGAAAACAGAAGGTTAAAAATCAAGGAGCTAATGGTGATGATGATATCTCAGCAGCACTGAGAAACATTTACAATGAGCACTATGATAGGGAAAAAAATGAGCAGAGAATAAACCAGCAATTCCCCAAAGGCAGCACCCAAGAACAGCAATATCTGACTTGGAACTTGTTGTGTCAACCAGAATTTTTTCCCATTTATTGCATACTATTGGAGCCCTTGGTTTCTATGAGGTCTGACGGCTGCTAAGGGCAGGCCTTCATTGTCCTTTTCAGGGATGTCATATCTGTGATTCTGTTATTCTGATTTTTTTTTTCTCTTGTCTCACAAACCCATTGAGCACTCTCTGGTCCTCGTTGTTTTTTTTTTTTTTTTCTCCAACACACACAGTCTGTACTGCCCACATTCTTCACAAAAGTAACTACTTCATAATTGCACATGAATCACATTCTCCACAACATGCGTCCCTCAAGACATTGTGTCACAGGCATTTCTTTAATTATGTGGTATCTTCTCTTTGCTACGAGAAGGGCTAAATGAGCAGCCGCCTTAACCTTATTTCTCTTCCAATCCTGACATGGCCCAATGAATAGGGGTGCATAACACAGAAACAGATTTCAATAAGGAAATGGCAAGAACAGGAGAAGAATCAAACCATCAGGTGTCTCCAAAAAAGTTTAACGAAAGAAAGTCTCCAACATGATTGCATAGCAACAGTTTAACACAAACATGTATTCATAAATCAATTAGTGACTATCTGATTACAAAATGTATGACATGGAATATTCTGGCATAGAGAAGATTCAATGTCATAATTGATTATTTTGATTAATAATTGTCTTATATATATGGGTGTTAAATCACTTGCAACTTTTCTTTATTTTAAATTTATTAATTTAAAATGTTTTTCAAATTTAACAGTGTTTCACATCTATAATATTCCCTTCCTATGTAGATGTTCTATGCATATATAATATTCTTTCTTTACATCAGGGATATTATTTCACATCATGTGGGGTTCATGACAACAAACATAAAGTGAGTAGACTAAGGTAGAGTATTCAAGAAAAAAATTGAGTCCACAGCAAAATAGTGTTACAATTTAGATAGCAAAGTTTGAAAGGTTTCATAAGTTCTGGCACAGGTATCTATCTGCCTGCAAAAACATAGAGTGGGTCCCCACCTCATATATTGTTAAAATGATCACAAGAGCTAGAGACTTGAATTATGGTGTCTGTAACAAGCTAAGCACCTCTGACAAGGCTGGCATCCCTTATCACAGCTGCAGTTTGAGTCCCAGCTGCTCTGCTGCAGATGCAGCTCTGGGGCGGCACCTGGGAAGGCAGCAGAAGCTGACCCCACTCCTCATCTGAGGGGAGACCCAGATGAAGTTCCTGCCACCTGGGAAGGCAGAAGAAGCTGACTGCAGTGGTTAGATCCCTGTCCTCCACATGGAAGATCCAGATGGAGTTCCTGGCTCCTGACTTCAGCCTGGCCAGCCCTGGCTGTCAGATTAAACGCAGGCACTCATTCTCTCCCCGTGTGTCGCTCCTTCTTAAAAAAAAAAATAGATGAAAAACATGTTTGAAAATACAGAATCAGATACCTTATGGTAAAAATGAATGTAGGTGAGAATGTAGAAAGACACAGATAAGATCTTCAGCTGAGCAGATCCTCCTGCTTTGACAAGAACTCATGTTGTTTAAAGGATTATTTTCATGTATTTGCATAGAAACTACATGAGTATGTGCATTGGACATAGAGAGTCTTTTTAAAAGACTATGACAGGGGGCCTGGCAGCATGACCTAGCAGCTAAAATCCTCGCCTTGAATGTGCCAGGATCCCATATGGGTGCTGGTTCTATTCTCGGCAGCCCCGCTTCCCATCCAGCTCCCTGCTTGTGGCCCAGGAAGCAGTCAAGGACGGCCCACAGCTTTCGGACCCTGAACCCGCGTGGGAGACCCGGAAGAAGTTCCTGGATCTTGGCTTCAGTTCGGCATAGCATTGGCCGTTGCACTCACTTGGGGAGTGAATCATCGGACGGAAGATCTTCCTCTCTGTCTCTCCTCCTCTCTGTATTCTGACTTTCCAATAAATAAATAAATCTTAAAAAAAAAAAAGACTATGAGAGGGATGAATGTTTTATACAGCATTGAAGGTGGGTATTTCATTTTTTTTTCTCCCAGTGGTGACAGTTATAATTAATTTAATTTTTTTTTAATTTTAAGGTTTAACAATTTTGAACTTTATTTTATGCAAAGGGATGAAATCTAATACATTTTTCATGAGCACAGTGACATGCTAACCTTTCACACTTCCTCAGTCCTACACTTCAACTATTCTGAAATTTGAAATAAATGATAAAAATGGTGGAAAAAAAAACAATCTCTAACAGTGTAATTTCATAAGATGGTTATTAAGATTCAAACATTCTAATGAAAGATGATGTGCTGTTTAATCAAATGATAAGAATTGGTTTCAGAATCAAGAAGTAAGGGATATAATTTTTGGAAATATATCTAGAAACTGACAGCCTCCAACAAGTACTGTCGTACAATTACAAATCAAAAATACACATACCCAGAAAATTGCAGTTCAGGCAACATCTCACCAACCCGTATCTTCAGCTGCAGATCTAAGAAAATGCAAATGGACTCAAATTTTCACAGAGAAGAAAGAAATTAAGAGCTATGCTTCATGCACACAGTTTCTTAAAAGTCATGCATAGTCGGTTTTTAACATAATATTGATTTCCCATGAGATCTCTGAAGACCTCTTGGAAACGGGAGATAAGTTCATGAATGCAACCCTTTTACCACATAAACGTTTTTTTTTTTCCTTCTGTGAATCAACCACACAGTAGAAGAAGCTACAATGTGTGTGACACAAGAACTGCTTCTGCAGCTAGAGTATGGAGTTTTCTTATTAATATCAAAGCATATTCACTAGACCCATCTCACAGATAACAATGACCTGCCCTCATGTCCCTGGACAGCCCTCCACAGCCAACACCTTTTTTCTATAGCCCTTCATTGAACAAACCATTAGAAACACCTCTTCTTTGTGACCTGTCCCATTCCCTGCTTTCATAGGCTTCAGGTACATTCACTTCCTGATCCCCTGCGACCCGGTCTTGCTGAGTTCTGTGAAAACTTGCCTATTCATCCTCAGGCACAACCATTTCACGGAAATCATGACTCTGCAAGCAGACTTCCCTGCACCCTGCCCCCTCTTGGCCCAGGTCTATATAGTGTGGCTCTCATGTGGCCGCAGGTGAAAGCTCTTGGCTGTTTTCTTCTGAGCCTTTTCTGCGGCACCTGCTGGACTTTAAGATTTACCTGGAGGGGTCTCAGAGAGGCAGGTGTTTACTTGGAAATACAAACATTTCTGTGTGAGCTTCCAGATG